TCTCTCTGACTTCTGTCTCTGGCCTCCAGACCCTCTTTGAAAGGTCCATCCTGGGTAAATTCCCTTTAATTAACTCAAAGTCACCTGAATGGGACCTTAATTCCATCTGTGAAGTTCCCTCGCAGGAGTGCTACCAGTGATACCAGCCTCCTTCACGGGTCAGTCCATGTTGCCTTCAGGAGGTCCCATGGGTCGGGGCAGACAGGCTGCAGAGGGCTGCTGGGGGCTTGCCTTGAGAGAAGGGCCTTGGCCAGAGGTAGGATTCGGAACACTCCGAACAGGAGTGCCAGCAACAGGAGTGGAGGCTGCTCTGGGGGGAGGCTGGGGCAGGAGGCAGGTGGAGGCCTGAGGCCTGAGCTGGGGAGCAAGTAGGGGTCTGTGTATTCAGAACCAAAATTTGGCAACCGACTGGGTGTGAGGGTGAGGACTCCACCCTTGGAGCCTGGAGTTCTGCCATCAGTGAGCTGTGGGCGGGGCCTACGTCAGAATCTTTGGCGAAGGCTCAGGTGGAGAGGTGGGGGTGTCCATGCAGGCAGCGGGAGAACTGGACAGGGAATCTGGGTTAGGTTTTGCTGGGGCACCGGGCCCAGCTGTTGGAGCTCAGGGAGGTGAGGAGGGGCTGCCCTGAGCAAGAGTGAGTCCAGGTGGGAGGAGCAGGCCTTCCTCTGCCAAGCCAGTGGGCCCAGGAGCACAGCTGGGCAGGCAGAAAGGGTTGTCCTCCCTGCCCCCCAAATGCACACTGCTGGGTCTGCCTCCCACCCTGAAAGCCGGGTAGAAAGTAGGTGTCAGCCTGGGAGTCCCAGGAGCCAGAGGGCCACGGAAGGCAGGGCTGCTCCGTGGCCTTCACCCGCCCACAAGGTTTGAGGCCTCCCTGCTGTTGACAGGTCATGAGAGACAGAAGAAGAGGCCTTAGCCTGAGCTCCTGCTCATCCAGCCTCCAGCCCATGTGTTTCCTTGTTTGTACAAGAAAACAGACTCTCTCATCGATGGGCCTTGGAAGCCCTTTGAAAAGGTGACATGTTCTTCAAATCTGTGCAGCAGCATATGTCTCAGTTCAGGTCTCTTGATTGCAGGGGTTTCATAGATGAACTTGTTATGTGTTAGTAGGTATGTGTTATTCCAAAAAACCAAGCCCATCAGAGAACTCGTTTCATGGATAGTATTGCTTAGTCTTAGTTGAAGTGGAAAGAGCAAGTTTTTCTCGGCGTGAGAGGAAGGAGAATAGGATGTAGATGACAGCTCAGGCTCTGCATGGATGTGGACGTCGTGGAGACACCCTTAGGTGACTGACGCTGGGGAAGGGTTTCTGGTCATCTGTGGATAGAAACAGGGGCAGACCTGTGCCGGCACTGTGGACGCTCCACCTGGCATTTGTCTGTGGCCTGATCTGCAGCCTGAGACCGCTGACTGGGGATAGGGTGGGGATACAGTGAGCAGTATCCCCCCCAGCCCCCAGTTTCCGGGATTTTAGGGAAGCAGAGCGCAGATAGCCTCAAGTCACACTGGTGACCGAAAGCTCCATCCAAGTCTTAAAAATAGAACCCGAGGCAAATGAATGAGTCTCTGTCCACCCCCACTGCCAGTGCAGAATATTTCCAAAGGAAATTGCGTCCTATTACCTCATTCTGTTAGGGAGCTCGTGGCCACAGAGCTCCTCGTCCCTCTGCTAATTTTCCCTGTGGGATGGACAGACTGTGCTTTCCTGGCCTAATGGAGAAGATAGAACATCGTTGATCGCCTAATTGGAGCTGTGCAATTCCAGTAAACCTGGAATCTGGCATCAGCAGAGTGTACGTGACTGGGCTGTGCAAGGGCGGCCCGCACAGAATACCAGGGAGAAGCCCAGCCGGGTTTCTCGCTGCCTCTTGGATCCACAAAGCACTTTGTGGGGAGCCAGCCCAGGCTGTCATCTCAAGAAAACAGAATGGAAAAGGAGATGGGCCAGTCCAGGGCTGGAGCCACAGGCCAGGGAACAGTGGGGTTGGGGGGGCGGGCAGGAGCAGAGGTCAAGGCTGGGGCAGCCAAGGTGCCCAAACTCTCCTGCCCGCTCCCTGGCCTTAGATCTGCCCTGCATCAGGAACATGCATCCAGTCAGATCACTTTTCCCACTGAGTTGTTCTCCCAGGGAAGCGGGGCCCGGAAACGCGTGGGACTTCAGGCTTGGCCACGTCAGAGCAAGAAGGTTCCCTTTCATCTGCTGTCCACTTGGGTAATGCAGATGAATTCTGGCAGAGGAACCCGAGAGACGGCCCAGGACAGAGCATGGAAGCCAGGCAGAGAAGCCAGGCCCGCCAGCAGGCCCCGGCCCAGTTCTCCGCCCCTAGGGCAGGAGGCAAGAGCCACAGACCTCCCTCCGGAGTGACCCTCAGCCTCCCCAACCCAGCCTCTGGTCCCAGCACCCCTCTCCCACTGTTGCAGCAGCCCAACTGATCTCCTCTTCTGCTTTCTCCGCGGCAGGCAAAGATCATTCCAAACCCTGCTGGGCTGAGGCCTCTGCCTGCAGGCTCTTCCCGTCCCCACCCTGCACTCTGCCCTAGACTGAGGTGTGCAGACCCGCTGCTTCTCTTTCTAGAACGTGCCCCCTGTTCACTGTCTCCCTGCTGTATGGTCTCCACTGTAGTGTCTGCTGAGGAGCCAGGTGGCTGCAGGGAGCCGCACCCCCAGCAAGGCCTGTACCCCCACCCCCTCCCACTCTACTCTGCAGACAGGAGCATAGGGAGGGTACTGAGGCAGGGTAGAGGGCGTGCCTGGGTCCCAGGCTGCCCAGAAGCAACACACTGGGTGTGCTTGAGGCCACCTGGCTCCACGACAGCCTGTGACCCTAAGCCAGGCCCTGAGCCAATCCCAGCGTCTTGGCTTGGATTTGCAGGGTAACCCTGACCCTGGGCAGTGACAGGACCCAGGGAAGAAGGCACTGGTGGGTGGAGAGTGCAGGACTGCCCTGACACGCTTGTGGCTGTTTGACGGGTCATGGCACAGGCCTCAGCCTTGGGGTCCTGGTGACTGTCTGTCCACAGGCCTTTCTCTTTTTCTCCCTGGCTCCTTCTCCACTCGGGGGTATGGGAGAGGAGGGAGGAGCCGCCGATGACAAACATACACCAAATGGCCATTCCCCCGGCTGGGGGCACACTCAGAGCAGGGGAAGCAACTTCTGTCCCCGAAGAGCTGACAGTCCAGTTGGAGGAAACAGTTCTGGGGAGGCATAGGATATGAGGAGGGACCTCAAAATACCAGAGTTGATTTATAAAAAATTGCATATTTATTCTTACATGTTTAAACTTCAGTCACCTTCTAAGTACTCTCCGCTTGATGCAATACACCCATCAAGATACTTTTTCCACCTCTCAACACAGTTTTTGAACTTGTCTGTTTTGATGCCTTTTAATGCTTCTGCCATTTTTTGTTTTACTTCTTCCACATCAGCAAAACGTTTCCCTTTGTGGACTTCTTTTCATCCAGGGAAACAAAGAGAGCAGGTGACTAGGGAGGGTGGGGCATGGGGATCATGCCATTTTTGGCCCAAAACTGCTGAATGCTCATCTTGGGTGTGGGCAGGTGTGCTCGTAAATCACCCATCAGGAAATGAACAAAGGTATTGAAAGAATCTCCAAAAACAAAATTCACTGAAGCCAAATGCAGCCTCTCACAACACTAGCTGAGACACTAATGCTGATTGGGGTCCTAGAAGCCTGAACTGGAAGGGGCTCACCCTCTAAAAATAATTCTGTTTTGGGGGGGTTCCCCCCCCCATATCTATAAGCCTTTAGCTCAGCAGGAGCTAAAGGAGCATGTTGTAAGGAACATCTTACAGAAACCTGAATTTACCAATGGAAGGAGTGAATAAAGATGGTGAATTCAATCTGCTTGAAAGAGAGTCTGGCAAAGATACTTTTGGATGGATGGATGGTTGTGTGGGTGGAGAGAGAATACATTGGGGCATACATTAATGGACAGATGGATGGATGGATGGTTGTTTGGGTGCATAAAGGGTAGATGGATGGGTGGAAGGATAGGTGAGTGGATCTTAAATAGTAAATGATGGGTGGGCAGGTGGGTGATACACTGCCCTTGCTGGGAGGTACCTGGTGCAGCTGGAGTGTAGGTAGTTTCCCGGGGGCAGATCCCCATGTCTCTTCTGAGTGTGGTGATCCTGGGCAGAAGGGAAATGCCATTTGGTGTGTTTGTACTTGCCTCCACACACATCCCTCCCTTATCTAGTGCCCAGGGCCCCCCTCCCCCCAGTGCCCATTCCCCCATTATGAGGCCCAGTCCCTGTGCCCTACCTACACGGGGCCTGTCAGCCTTCGGGAGCCAGTTGGAGACTCTGAACCTCCAAGCACACTGTGAGCTGTTATAGTCATCCGCCCCTGGTCACCCTGCTGCCTTAGCAAGACCTTTGGTGGCTTGGTCCCAAAGGGTCTCGGGTGTGGAGCAGGACACAGAGGGGCCTCTGAGGCACCTTCAGCCCAAGTCAGTCACCCAGGATGTGGCCAGGCCTGCAGGCTAGGGAAGCTGAATCCACGGCACTGAGCACGCCCCGGACTGCAGGGCGCCGAACCTGCTGGGGAATGGGACGCCGAGGACCCATGCGGCACAGGCACCAGGGCCAGGAACCCAGGTACCAGGGCCTGCCCTGCAGCCTGGAGCACATCTTTTCTGAGCCTCACCTTCCTCTGTAGTACAGGCTGCTTATTGGACAGGATCAGAGTTGAAGGCTGGTGGCTGGTGGCTCACATGCACAGGGACTAAAATGACTTTCATTCATTGCCTGTTTCTAAAAATTAGGATATTTCACATGCAAGTCAGGATTTTGGCTTCTTTGGAAAAGTCAAAATATCTGGCAGGACTGGGCCCCTCCCTATTCCTGTCACCTCCCTCCCAGGTGGCCCAGCAGGCATGGCGTTGGCAGCCGGGGGCTGGCCCCTGGGGAGGTTGCCAAGAGGGGCAGGTGGCCTCTCCCTGGGCAGTGACATCCTGCCTCTCCTGTCCCATGTCCGAAGCTTCACACAGGCCATGCTGAGCCAGCCCACGTTGGAAAGCCTGGACCACCCTGCGGCCTACCTCCTGGGCCTCGCCCTCCTTGGAGTGGGCGTCGTGCTCGTGCTCTCCAGCTTCTTCGCGCTGGGGTTCACTGGAACCTTTCTAGGTGAGTCCAAGAGGACTGGGTGAACTTATGAGGCCCACTGTGGTGCAGGGGACGCACATGGCCCAGTGGCTGCTGCCCTGCCATTCGTTCATGATGTCCACTCATGGGGAGCACCAGAGATCCACTGCCTCAGCTCCGCCACCAGCAGGGGCTGAGTCTGGCATCCTCCTTCCTCCACGTGAGAACAGGGGGCTCTAATAGCAGGTCTAGCTCCAGCTAACGGAGCTGCTGCCTCCTCAGGAGTGAAGACAGCTCCTCCGGCTTGGCCTTGAGGGGCCGTGTGGGGTGTGTCCTTCCCCTGGTTCCTGCCTGTTGACTTGTGAAGGTGAGGTGGCCAGTCTGTGCCTCTGCAGCCACCTCTGGCCCTGCCCTGGGCAGTTCCCTGCACACCAGGCCGCCAGGCCAGGCAGAACTCTGGTTTGCTGTGTTTGGGCCGCAGGCAGGACTGGCATAGGTCTGGGCAGGGTGAGGAATGGAAGGCCCTGATCCCATCTCCATTCTCCTCTGCCTGTGGCTTTGGTGCTTTCGGGCTGGGAACGCTGTGCTGGCTGGGCCAGACACCCGCCTGCCCACCCTTACAACAGCAGCAACTTCCAGCTCCTTGGTCCCTGGGAAGAAAAGCAGTGGAGGGGAAACCGTCAGGGGTGGGGATCTGGAAGGGCAAGGGAACCTTGGGAACAGGGAAGGAGAGAAGGAGCAGCCTTTGTCAGCAAAGGGAGCCCCTGCAACCAGCAGGGAGTTGGCATGGCTGCCAGCTCTCCAGCAGGGTAGGGACACCCAGGTCCTCCTCCCTCTCAGCCCCTGGCCCCTGCAGGAACTTGGCAAGCCACTGGCCTCAGCTTCCTCCAAGGCTCAGTGGCCATCTGCGAGTTCCCTGGTCTTTCCATCCACAGACACCATTCACAGCTGCCTGGGTCTGGCCTCCCAGGGGCTCTGTGGGTTATCAAGGGACTCCAAGTTCTCAAGGAGTAGATGCTCAGACACAGTGATCCTCTAGGGGAGAGAGTGGCATTTATGGGGTCAGCATTCTGGCCCACTCTGGGGCCAGGCCTCACTGGGGCTGGTGTGCCCCCAGCAAGAGGGATACCCGCAGGTGGCTCAGTGCTTCCTGCTCAGGCAGAAGCTGTGGGAGTCTGGCCCAGGAAGAGGGGCAACCAGGAGTGCCTGGATCTGCCAGGTGGAGCAGGGGGCGGGGCAGGTAGGAAGGAGGAAAAGGCCTCAGTAAAGGAAAAGTGAGGCCAAGAGCAGAGCTGCAGCAGCTGGAGGGAAGAAAGGGCAGCTTGACTGGCTGCTGGGGGTGTGGGTCAGGGCAGGACTGGAGGGCAGGCAGAGGCCCTGAAGCCTGTGCAAGGGGCTGAGGCTTCGTTTCCAGGGAAGTCGGAACCAGAGAGGGGGTCCCAGAATGAAGAGGTTGGACAGGTGTGGCCGAGAACAAAGATGGGGCCAACCCAAATTCAACAATAGTGGCAGGGAGAGGATGGGCCACCCTGGGGAGGGGCGCCGTGCTGTGCAATCAAGTCCTGTGGAGGACCAGCAGTGAGGAGCCCTCCATGGCCAGGCTTTGGTGGGTCTGGGCACGGAGGGCTGCAGGCAGAGTGGGGGGCGGGGAGCCCCACAGGCAATGAACAGCAGGCCTTGGGGCGTGGGAGGTCTGGGCTGCTGGCAGAGGGATGGGGAGGAGCCCAAGAATGCTGGGCCTGCAGCCTTGGGGCAGCTCTCCTCAGCAGACAGGCCTAGAAACACCGGAGGGGGCCCAGCAGCCCTGGATGTAGGGCAAGGTGGGCGCTTCCCGCCATGAGTCAGCCCTAAGTAGGTTTCTGTGCCATCCGCCCCAGGCCCCACCGCCCCACTTCCTGCTTCCTGGGAAGAAAGAACCGCCTGGCAGTCCTGGGGTGGCTCTTTGGGCCCCTGCCCCCTTTATCCCCAGACAGTGACGCAGCTCCCGGCCCCTCCTGCCTGTGCTTCCCATTGTTGGCAGCTGCCCTACTTTCTGCCTCGGCTGAAGCCCGTCGTCCTCTAGGGGAGCCACTAGCGAGGGGTTTCTGGGGAAACCAGTCGGCAAGGCCGCAGCAGCACCTTTGCTGCAGCCACACTTGGCCTGGTGGTGCCTGTCACCACGCAGGGGCCCAAGCCAGACACTGTCCGTGGTCCCTCGGACACTCTTTACTGCTCAGGGCAGCCCTTCAAGGAGAGGCCCTGTGGCCATGCCGCTGTCGGGTGGATGGCTGGCCTGTCTGGGATCAGCCATCCAATGGTCATCTTCTCTCCACGAGGTCCAGCTTCTCCTGGCTGCTGGGTGGGGAAACAGCAGTCCTAGGGCTGACCTCCCTGAGCGACAGGGAGCATATGGTGGGCAGGCCTCGGAGCCAGAACCACGCAGCCCGATGTGTGGGGCTGAGCAGCCCCTGGCAACCAGTGATCCCTGGGAGGGCCAGGGAAGAGGGAGAGACGGGCAGGAATAGTGACTGGCAGAACAGCTGCTTTAGGTGGGGAGTCAGAAGCGTCTCAGTAAGGAGGCAGCAGGAGCAGAGGGGGAAATGCCACAGGAGGAAAGGCGCTGTCTGTACAGAGAGCAAGAAAAGGCATCACAGGGGGAGGAACCGCATGTGCCAAGGCTCGGCGGCAGGAAGAACAGAGGAAGGCCATGTGGCTGGAGCTTAGAGAGCAAGAGAAGAGGGGCAGGTGGTGGGGAGGGGAAGGCCCAGCACCCAGGCCCTGGGGACTGCAGCACCCTCTGGGGGGCCTTCCGGCTCTGCCTCCCTCCGCTCTGCAGCCTCCTGGAGGGCAGGGCCCTCTCACCAGCAGGCCCACCGCAGTCTACTCCGGGGGCCCTTCCTCAGTGATGCTGTGGCCAGGGTGGATGAATTCCGAGTGACCCTCCTGTCCTGCCCTGCTTGGTCCACAGGTGATTACTTTGGGATTCTCAAGGAGGCAAGAGTGACCACGTTCCCCTTCAGCATCCTGGATAACCCCATGTACTGGGGAAGCACAGCCAACTACCTGGGCTGGGCCATCATGTGAGTACAGGCCTGCTGGCCCCATCCGGCCCACTGCCTGCCGCCCAGGGAGGAGCCGGCCCAGCCCAGACCTTGGGGGCTGGGGCCCCCGAAGACAGAGAAAGGAAGCACGTGTCATCCCTTGGGGCCAAGGGCATGGTGGGGTCTCCGTCTCTCAGGAGTGTCTTCTCTGTGGTAGCGGAAACAACATCCCAGAATGGGGCAGGGGCTTTCTCTAACAGGACCAGAGGATGTCGACTGGAGGGTCACTGGTGGGTCGTGGCTGCTCAGACAGGAGGCACCTGCGGAGGCAGCCACAGATAGGAGCAGACACGCCTGGTGGTCGCCAGAACAGCCCCCTCTGTGGCCACTGAGATTTGAATTTCAGGTCATTTTCACGCGTCACAAAATATTCTTTTGATCCTTTTTCTTGTAACCATTTAAAAATATGAAATGTGTTCTTGGCCTTGGGCCTCAGTTTGCTGACCCCATGCTAGAACCTTGGGGCTGGGAAAGCCCTGAGAGGTTCTGCTGGTCCCACACCCTCGAAAGGGCCACAAGAGCTGCGTGGGGGCCCAGAACGAGCCCCTGTGCCCCGGTGGCCTCTGGCCTGCAGGGGAGATGTTCTGAACACGGATCCATGTGGCAGATACCCCATCCCACAGAGGGGGGAGACCCCTAGTCCTGTGAGGGAGCAGGCCCGGGGCAGCTGTCAGCTTTGACCAGATCCGAGCACTGACAAGGTTGTGAGGGCGCTCCACAGGTATCAGAAACCCTGCAGGGAAGGAGTCCAGTGTAGGAAGAGCTGCCCTGGCCCTCACACCAGGCCTCCTACCCCGGCATTGCTAGTTGATCCGTTTTCTCCCATAGGAGGTGTTCGGTACAGAGGGCTCTGCTTATATCAGCACTTGAAAGTCACTTGCACTTGGCGAGACCTCATCTCTACCATAAGTCAAAAATGAGCCGGGCGTGGTAGCACGCGCCTGTAGTTCCAGCTACTCGGAAGG